TTCCTCTGGTAAGGAGGACTTCGCGGTTGTTTACATTTTTTCCTCTGCTTTCTCTCTCCGTCTTGCTCTGCGATGAAAATTAGTGACTTTGCATGCCTTTTTACCGTTCTGTTTAATCGCCTACCGAATCTGTATTTGATGGCGGATTTCTTTTTAGCCTTGAGGGACACGATGGACACATGTAGAAGTTCGAGCCCTGATTTGGTGATCGTATTTTAGCGTTACCATGCCCCCGACATTCGGATTTTGCAGAACCCGTAGTACCTGCTGTTTGAAACCTCTGATGCAACTGCTACAGGGACGAAGTGCATGAATATTCCGGGACCGACACGGAAATATAGACCCCCCCCTACTACGCGCAGTCTTGCGTTAAATTCCAAGAGGGAGTACCCAACCGCCCCCCTCCCCACTGGAATTTAACGCAGGGCCACCCGTGAAACGGGTTCCACATTCTTGTGTCCTGTCGCAAGCGGAGAAAATACTTCATATGGTATAATAAAGGATAACTGGTCACAGCGCCTTAAGCAGACTATCAGTAGGCTTTACTGCGCCTGTATGAAGCTCTAGCAAAAATGCGGGATATCCTCCCATTGTTGGTTTTAAATTTCCCCAGAGATCAGCCGCTGACTTGGAGTAAATCACTTTGAGCTGAGGTCAGTAGGCGTAGATCGAAGTTTGATGTACGAATATTTGGACCGAAGTTCATCTGCCACAGCGGGATAGCCGCGTAATATTCATTAAACTGCCAAAAGGCAGGTGGTAGTATGTACTGGGTGTACCGCACACCGTACTCCCGACACAGGTGCTAGCCAAAAGTCCAGACACCCGTTTCGCTGCTATGAGCCTAGCCCTATGCAGCGGCAGGATGTCTGCGAAACACGTGTGTATGGGCTTTTGGCTAGTACCTGCGATGCCAGTATGCTATCTTGTGACACTAAAAGTTGGGGCACGGGAATAGACTCTCCCCCATAATTTTGTACGGGGTCAGTATTATCCTGCCCGACCGACCATCGTTGCCTCCTAACACTGACCAGACAGGGTTCTCCAAGTACAGTGGGTGGTCTAACTCATGAAATATCGGCTGAAGTTCCGAAATGCGTTTTCGTTTCGAAAAGACTAATTAAAACTAATCATCCTGCAGCATAATTCCAGAATAATTCATTTACCTCTGGATGCCGGCTTTTAAACGAACTTCCTTCCGGTTGCATACAAAAACTATACTCTGTAAAAATGACTGCTTAAGTAGCATACATTTTTCTCTTTGATTTTCGATGCTCTTAAAAATTCGACTTTCTTTCACGGAAAACATGCATAAAATATTCATTCGGTAGAACATTACGTCTTCTTTCAATATTATACTCGAAAGAGGAACATGATTCGGTTTTAAAAAGTTTCTTATTGTGAGATTTAATACCGTGAAACGGCCAATCATATAGGATCATGGTCTCTGCATTTACCAATGTGGTATGTGACGTTTATAATATGGGACAAATCCACTGCTAAATCTTATGAACCCCATATAGTCTCCTCTTAGTACCGTAGAAAAATGTATGGTTGTCCGTACGCGAGAAATATATGGCTTGTAGTTTGGAAACCCTGAATGCAAGTGTGACGGCAGAGCGGGTTCAAAATTATTCGGGTATTGGAAAAGTTTTTGAAGACCGAGTTATACCCTTCCGTCGAGTATAAAATTGGAAGAAAACGTAAATTTCTACCGAATTAGCGGAAGAATGAATATTTTTATTCACGTCTTCCATGAAATATGATTGGACTTTTAAGGGCATCGAGAATCAAAACCAAACACGCATGCTACTTAGTTAGTCATTTTTTACAGAGTATAGTTTTTTGCATTCAGCCCGAAGGGAATTCGTTCGAAAGCCGGCATCCTGAGGTACCTGAATCATTATATAATTACACTGCAATCTGGTTAGTTTTAAAATCCTACTTTATCTTTTCGAAACGAAAACGCATTTCGGAATTTCAGCTGACATTTCATGAGTTAGCCCACCTACCGTACGAATATGCAGGAGGGCACTGAAGTCAGTCCAGTACGGAAAATTCGAATATGCTTGTGCTTTACTACAGTCATCAAAAGTTGGGAAACATAGGCGATGACCATTTTATGTGTTGTCATGCAGGAATATTACTGAAACACCGTTCGAGAGCTGTTAACCGTGAACCGTGGCTCGGAGGTGATGGGTTTATTTATATTTACGTGTGATATTCCTCTCCTATACAAATGTCTTAAGAATTTCCTACGTGTTCGAATGCACGTGTAATGAGCTCCTGCCGACCGCCTGCAAGGCGCTGGATTGTTAAGCGTCGAAGCAACTAACTGGGGAATTATTCGATTCTACAGAAAACCTCTCGGGTTTTTCAGTCTTCAAGGTCATGGCAGAGTGAGGTCTACCGTTCGGGCCTGAATTCTGAAAGGAACATGGATCTGCGGACTGATTGTCACATGGTGACTAGAAATCAGTAGGTAGGAAGCAATGCAGACAGCGGCTGGGAACCTCTAAATGGTCGTTTGACATCGTCAGTGTTGAGAAACCTGAGATCTGAACTCGGCTTTGGATGGTCGTCGGGTTTGAGGTTCTGTCAGTGATGCCTTCAGTCTGATCTTATCAACCCGTCCCACTCTCCCTATTCAATCTTCTCGGAAAATGATGCGGGGGCTAGGAGTAAATCTCTCGGAGCAAGACTTTTTAGCCTCGCTCCAAAGCTCTACGCATGAATGTTCGACCTGAAATCCACCAGCTACAGCGGAACTACCGCTTGATACTCACGAGTTGTCAGCAGGCATTCAGTAGTACATAAATACTGAATGTTCCATCATGCAAACAGCGCAAGTACTAACTAAAAGCACAGAAATCTGTTTCACTGATATTCTGCCGTTGCGTGACGCTGCTGTGAGGGGGTCCGATTCAAAGTGTCCGCCACGGTATGTTGCATCGATGACGGGTCGACGTTGGGGTTTCTCCTCCCGCATTTGCTAGATTAAGAGCGTGCTTCCAGTCAAGGCTGCCGACCACCTCTACACCCTCGCCCCAAGTAATTTCTAATTACCTGAACCTTCAGAACAGCGCTGCCTGTTGTCGGCCTTGTAATGCCTGGTTTACTGGGCGGAACCGTGTCCCATTAAAAGCGTTTCTCAGTCGGGTCCAGTCTAGATAGACGATACGGACGTACCGCCCACCCGAAGGCTGGTAGTCATGGCTATTGTCGTACACACCGCGCCAACTGAACTAGCGACACCGCGATCTAATTAGCTGATAATTCTAGAAGCAACTATAAACATGGTATGGAGTGGGCCTCTCTCAATTCCGTTTGAAAACGACCACTCATTTGTTTTTGTCCACTGTGGAATTTCTAACGTCGGATGTCGCCGACGCAGGTTAAAACTGTTACATTTAGTCCATAATCACAGTAGCGATCGGGATCTCATTGGGGTTTTAACATCGGCAAACGCTGACATTTATTTACAGAGTCAGGCGAGAACTGCAAACATAGCATTAGTCCAACGCTGCATCCTAGCTACTGGTGCCAAAAAAGTACACAGAATAAGGTCTGGGTAGGGACTGCCTCCTTGTAGCCTATAGAGTTGAAGGGAACTCAGCCAAGCTGTCCTTGTTCACGTCTTTCCTTCGACGGATTTCTTCTTGTCTATCAGTTCCATCTCTCGAATAATCTAAAAGTTGCGAAAGATTGTTAAAATCACTTTTTTTGTCAAGAATCAATACTTAAAACCCCCAAAACGCGACTTGCACTTTTTTGCTTCGACCTCTCTTGAGGTCGAGGTTCAAGCTTGGGGATTAAGACTTGAAGCCATTGCCTCTTTAGCCGGAGAGATTCGAATTAGGGCCGGTGCTACGTTTTGAGACCGGGGTTTAAGGTCTGAGCCTCTTCAAGGTGGGTGAACAAGAAACTTCATGACCTCATTTTTATTAAAACAGACTAGAGATGCGTCAAATCGACACAGATTGAAGACAGCGCACCACAGGACGGAACCGAGGCGCTGAGACGCCGAAGTAGTCAGATACTGCGCTTAAAGTTGTGGTTTCGAGGGCCGCCAAGCGACTGAGTAACTCGGTCTTCACTTTTTCAGTGTTCTGTAGAATTTAATAAACCCCTAGCGAGCCGCCCCGGCTTCTTGCAGCCGAGCCAGTGGGAGCTCATTACACGTGCGTGCAGACAAACTCGCCGCCTTCTTGTTTCCGAGAGAACCAGGTCCCCTGTGCTTGGACCGGACCGTGCGCGGCACGCTGGCCCCACAAACGGACCAGGCGGGACCACTACAAGGGCCAGATCGGATTCTGGCAAGCGGTATCGGATTTGCGCACCCATAACAAATGCCAACATTATGGGGGTGCGGTGGCAGACCCAGTTGCTGGTAGACGTCGCTCACACTGGGACCTCTGCCACCCCTTCCATTTTTGTTGTTATTGGTCAAAAACCTGGTTATTTGTTATGTGGGTCAGGGGACGTGCGGTGGAGCGCCAAGGTGCGGGCGCGACCGTGCCACTCACCTGCGTCCTTCCCCGCCTCCGGCCTTTTCGAGTCTGTCTTGACACCGGGTCCGTGTGGTGGAGCAGTAGGGAGTGCGGTAGATGCTGTGTAAGTCTACTATGACTATAAACTAATTCACGCACAAGTCACCGTCCCTGCTCTCATCCTGTTGTGGAGCACACGATGCACATCGTCGGCAACCACAGTCGAACTATCAGACCGCACTGTTTATTTTTCTCAGCCATGGAGCCTGAGACCCCCTCTGATTGTCTCGGGTCAGTTATTCCACCAGGTCCGGGAGAGTTGGGAAGGAGAGGGTGCGACATATCCTGGGCAATTCTTTTCAACACACGAGTCACCGTACTACGCCAACCATTCTGTAACACGCACAAGGTGAACATTGCCGCAGTTACGGGGACCCTTCTACCGACTGGGGAGAATATAGATCCTCTCTATGACCGGCAGCACGAACATTTGAACTGGTCTGCCAACTCTTCTACTGCGACTACGAAGACAGGCTCTTTGCAAGCAGAAGGTAAACACAATATGAAGAAGTCCTGAGGTTGTTTGAGTTGCCTACAAACTGTAAACAATTTTCGTCACAGCAGATTGTAAAAATACGATATTCCCACAGTCCTGCTTCTTTTACACGTAGCTGGGATTTACGACAACAATTATTTGAATTAAGAATTTTTTGAGATAGTTGCGGGTTAACAAAGAAAAGGTCTTTTATAGATCAACCGAGTGGATAAATTCGTTCACCAAGGTCTGTCAGAAGCAGAGTCAATAACTGGATCAAAACCAGAGAAGTCGAAATGGTGTGCCGTAGCCCTGAATCCGGCCTCACACGATTACGCGTATCTCAGCTCTTAGGCAGTACTCATTCCAGCGTATGACGACGTGACTTTTGATATGTTAAGTAATCCAAGGGACAATTAAATTCACTTCAAATATGAAAGCCAGTCGTCTCTTGCCTGAGATATTTCCGTTTCGATCATTGGGGCGTATTCTCGGCCTCGTCCGAGCTCATACATCTCGTCCAGAAAACGCTTTCTGTCCTTCAGCTCCTCAAACACTAAGAGAACACAGTAGATGGATAAAAACGCTCGAATTCAGTAAACCGTCTAAAATTCCTGCAATTTTTCCGCATCATCTCAGGATGCTGGTTGGAATCATCTGGTGCTGCCTATCTTAATAGCCTTTATAAGTATTTGTCAGGGATTTATTGTTGGATCATACAGCCAGCATATACTCGCATGAGATGCGAAATAAAGTCATCCAGCAAATTTTCAAAGACGAACGATTATATTCAGTAATTTTGTCATCAAGCCCACACACTTACACAGAAGATGAAAATGCGGGATGTTGACAATGTTCATAAGTGCCTCAGGGACGACTCACCCTGTCGCTTTCTCGTATTTTCATTTTCTATGTAACCATATTGGCCTGATGCTGAATTACTGAAAACACATGTTTGCAAACCTGACTTTTCAAATGTAGCAAGGGAATATTTGCGGAACCTAGAAATGATTATCTAGATCCGGTTTTTCAATACTGGCGGTTGCCGAGTATAATTGTAGATATCGATTAACCCAGAAAGGCTGCCAAAAGAGTCTGTTCGAGCTTCTTTTCTGGCGTCGGTCCAGCCCCGGAAGAAACCGAACTTGACTGGTGTTGTCGATGAAAATAAGGGACACGGGCGCGACCGTTTCTGGTCCGCCTATCATCGTCAGCTATAAATGTCTGATCCTGGCGGATCGTAGCTCAAGTGGGGGGGGGGGTTAACCAAGATTCCCTTGGTCTCAAATCTTAGGCATCTGACGCGGTGTCCGCTAGCCACCGATTGATGGCGGCGGATAAGCTAGCAATACCACCTCTCGTGTCCTTTGGTCGACAGGAATTATCGATTTCTGATTGTCGTCGTTGCGCGAACGCCCGCAATAGCTCCGGTCGAGAATTCGAAGGGCATCCATGAGTACCCGTTTCTGCCCCGCGATTGGGACATATCATTGGGTACCCCTTCCGCCTGATTACATAGCTAATAGGTTATTTAATCATTTTGTAACACTTCCACAGACCTGATCATTCTTCGTTTAAAGCCCTATGAACAAGTGATTTTCTCAATCCTTTGTGGAAGACTTGGCTCACTTAATACTTACCAGTTTGAGTAATGGAGTACTTTGAAAATACTCCCAAGTGAGGGGCAATTTGTGACGCATTCCTGACAGTAGGCGCAAGCGAGCGTACTTACTAGTGTTGCATGTACATTTTATAATACGACTCAAATCCACTTCTAACTTTTACGAACCCCGTATGACCTCCTTTTAATAGACGTATATGATGTTTTGTACGCGGAAAACACACAGTTTGTAATTTGGAAACGCTAAATGCAGGTTTAACGGCAGGTCGGGTTCAAAATTATTCGGGAATTGGGAAAGATTTAAAAACTAATTTACGCTCTTCATCCAAGAACAAAATTTGGAAGAAGACGTAGTTTTCTACTAAATGAGTAAAAGAATAAATATTTTCATGCATGCTTTCTATGAACTATCTTTGAATTCACAAGGGCATCAAAGATTAATGAAAAAAATTCATGCTACACAAGTAGTCATTTTTTACTGGGTATAGTTTTTCCGGGCGGCCGAAAAGAAGTTCGTTCAAAAGCTGGGATCCTGACGTGACTGGCCTATTTTGGGATTATGTTGAATGTTGATTAATGTTACAACCCTACTTTAGTAATCTTTGCGAGTCGAGAACGCATTTCAGAATTTCGGTTAACATTTTATGATTTGGCACATCTTCTGTTATACCTACCATTTGACCTACATATGCTTTGCGAAATGTTCCGGTGTGCGTAGCCAAAGCAACGTGAAAAAGTATAATATTACTTTCCGAAAGAACGCGCACGGAGTAGCCTTGAAAGATTAAAGTTTACATTTCAAAAATGTACTGGATATTACATTTTTTGAAAACCCAAACGACTTTATACCTAGTGCATAAATTTTATTAATAATTTTTAGTACATAAGTAAATTTTATCAATCTTTTTCATAGGAAGAGTTTGTTTGCGCTAACTGAGAGCTGAAATTTAATAGAAAAAAACTATGGTCTTTAAAATGATATGCTTTGGGAACTTTGTGGTTTCCGTTCCTAAGAAGGCGTAACTTCCTTAAAAAGAGGTCATAAGATATATTTTGACAGTCTACGTAAAATGTTGTTTCCACACAAGCCCCGAAGATGCTGGCAACGACATAAAGGTTACCAATCTAGCGATTTGCTCTTGAGTGAACTCTGCTGCTGCATTAACGAGATCGCTACGTTAGCATATGTTGAACTTCAAGCATATGAAGTCAACTCAGTCCCAACTCGTCACTATGCAACGAAAGCTCAAAATAACGAGTGGGGCGGAGGACTAGAAGGCTGTCAAATTTCTGGCTTTCTTCAACTTCCCCTAAACGGATGTCAAGGTAGCAGAAAGCGAATTGTGCAGTCTACGGAGGACAAATACGCGGATTGACCCCACGGGGAAAGAGATCAAGCGCATACACTTAAGTCCACAGTAGCCCAGTGAAAAGCTTGTTGCAACCGCATCCTAAGTCGCAGATCGTGAAGATCTGTTGAGACTTCAGTGAGTGCAATGTGCAGGTGAGGTTCCGGCTTCAGCCGGCCTACGAGGGGGTGTGGCCATACTTCTAAAGCAGACAGTCGCCGGATTGACCTTATTTGATGGCAGCCTGAAGGTATCACCACCACATAATCTGCGACCACATAGTCGTCGGACACGAGAGCCCATTTAGTTCGCAGAAGGTTACTCACTTTCTGCGTGCACGTCGCAGAAGCCAGGGAAAGACATTGCCCATTATAACCTTCAGGTCAGGTCCAGTGTTAGAGGAGACGAAAGACGTTAGTAGTGACGGCGCTGCATGCTGTACAGAAAGTATGGAAAGTAGGTTTGACGGCCGCACATGAGGCGCGCTTCCAGCTCCGCTGGAGCCAGTGTCAGTGCACGTTGACTCGGGACATACCTACGTCAAGTGATTGGATGACTGACCGTCTCAGAGATTAGTCTGACGCGAAAGCAACACCACGGAAGGGCTCAGGATTTCAACCGAAGTATTGCAGGTAGTGTGTACGTGTACGCATGCGCCAGAAGCGTAGTATGTGCCCGCGTACTATACAGCAGGTGGGCTAAATCATGAAATGTCAACCGAAATTCGGAAATGCCTTTTCGCTTCGAAAAGATTACTTAAGTAGAGTTGTAAAACCAGTCATCCTGCAGCATAATTCTATAATATTTAAGTTACCTCAGGATGCCGCCTTCCGAATGAACTTTCTTCCGGTTGCATGCAAAAACTATACTCTGTAAAAATGACTACTTAAGAAGCATGAATTTTTCTCATTGATTTCCAATGCTTCTAAAATTCAAATTATACAAAATATTCATTCTTTAGCTGATTCGGTAGACAATTACGTCTTCTTCTAATTTTATACTCAAAGGAAGCATATAATTCGGTTTTAAAAAGTTTCTAATTGTGGGACTTTTAAATACCGTGAAATGACCGTTCATAAATCATCATGCCTCTGCATTTACCAATTTGACTTGTAAAGTTAACAATATGAATCAAATCCACTGCCTAATTTTATGAATCCTATATGGTTCCCCTTATTACCGCAGAGAAATGTGTGGTTTTCTGTACGCGAAAAATATACGGCTTGTGGTTTTGAAACCCTGAATCCAAGTGTAACGGTAGAGCGGGTTCAAAATTATTCGGGAATTGGAAAAGTCTTTGAAAACCGAATTAGACATTTCCTTCAAGTATAAGATTGGAAGAAGATGCAATTGTCTACCGAATGAGCAAAAGGTGAATATTTTTGTTTTTTTTCCATGAGATATCATTGGACTTTTAGGAACATCGAAAATCAATGAGAGAAAGTCATGCTACTTAAGTAGTCGTTTTCTACAAAGTGCATTTGTGCATACAGCCGGAAGGAAGTTCATTCGAAAGGCGGAATCCTGACGTAACTGAAATATTATAGAATTATGTTGCAGACTGACCAGTTTTACAACTCTACTTAATTAATCTTTTCGAAAAGAAAATGCATTTCAGAATTTCGGTTGACATTCCATGAGTTAGCCCGCCTACTTTATATTTGTCATCTGTCAGTTGACTTAGGAAGACTTCCATTCGTATGGCAAAGTGCAAATATCTGCGCGATATATAAGAGTTGGCCTAATAATAGTCATTCCGTCAGTGTGGACCGTACCTAACGAAGGGTAATGACAAGAATACTTAACAAGTCGGAAATAAATATTTTCAGAGAACAACTTTGTAATCCCAAGGCTCTAACACGACTACAGACAGAACCGTTCCTCACTTTCAGTTCGAGGCAATCAGCTAGACACTGAACTGCGTTTGCTCAAGGAGGTGGAAGGCTGGATCAAAATCATATGTATTGATTTTAACTGGCCTTTGACCGCGTTCCATATCAGCAGCCTATTCACAAACCTGCAGACACTCGAATAAGAGGAAATCTGCTGCGGCCAACTGATTATTAATCGAACAATTCCAGGCCGCAAAGGTTACATCTACTGCCGTTTTATATGAGGTCTTCTGAAGCCTAGTCCTTGGGCCGATACGCCTCCAAGTTTGGATCAACAATCTAGTGGATGTCCTAAATCGCAGGTCTTTGTGTTTGCTGACGATCCTTAAAATGGGGAAATCAGTCGAGTCTGGTGTAACAAGGCGCATGATAAATAAACGATTAATCTACGTAACAACTGCAAAACGACCGATTACCGTTCGTGCTTACATGCAAGTATGCCCCCGAGTACAACCCCTACGAACGCGCCGGAAAGCACTCATCTGGATCAAGAGCAGCCACCGTCTTGTGTTTTTCTGGCCGCAAACAACGGTAGAGGAATTTCGTTTAGTCAGATAGACGTTCACCCGCAATGCCAGTTATCTAGGCTTATTTTTGTCTCAAGTGGCGCATCTTAAATGGTAGTCGGCTAATGAATTTTATGCATATGGTTAAGTCAGACCTGGAGGGGTTTTTAGGTCTGACAGTCCTTAAACTCCAACTGTTGCGGTCCCAACGGTCGATCGCGGGACATTGGTCGCACTGGTTCGTGAAGACAAACCGAACTGGTGTTAACTGATGCAAACACAAGGGTGGAGTCGACAGCATTGGCTGGGTCGATTTGTAAACGAACACAGTCACACGACTCGGAGTCGTCTCGCACTCCCTGCCCTTGTAACAATCCGTTCTAGATGGCACTGTAGATTCAGAGACGCTTAATGAGCCTGTACACAGTTTATACTTAACCTACCTGCGGGTCTGAAAGTACTCTATTTGATTCAAAGTAAAGGTCTGACAACGAGCAATCGATAGATGCTAAATTTGTTCAAAATACAGAACCGGTTAATTCCGACTCATTTACTGTGAACAGTCAAATCAGTTTAACAAATCTTTTTTTGTCGATTAAGTCCAGGAAAGTCTGCACTTATAGGCGTATCACAGAATTTTGGCAATATATCGATAATACAAAAGGCAAGCTGGCGAGAATACGTCCGCTTTCGATAAATTCTTTTCAGGCCTGTACATCTATATGGTTATTGAAATAATGAGTCCGAAGATACGTGCGAGTAGATATTCATGCTGTAGCTCGGGTTTGGGGGAGGGGGATGAGTGAAACACCAGAATTCCACTCAGCGCCAAGGAAAAGATGGGCCCGGGAAAGATAATTATATGCGGGTGGCTGGCCTAGCGGTTTTCAGCCATGACAACTGTGGGACCTGTATGAAGTTCTTTTGCGCGCATAGGACCGGTCCGTGTAACCTGATTGCAGCCGCCGCTGCCGCAGCCAACAAGCGCTGCCCAAGCAGTTTTGGATAGCTTGATGGGACCTTGTAGATCACTCTGAAGGCCTCTCTGGCGTCTACACGGTAGTCGGTGTCTACTATGTGTGGGCGGATGGAGCTGGTGGTTATTTTATTTGGCCCTTTCCTAATCAGGCAGGAAGATGTTCTTTATTCTTTTGGACGAACGCCGGCTCATGCGACTAATATATTCTGCCCCACAGGAGCAGGTGAAGGAGTAAATACACATAGAGGTGGTCTGAGCTGGTAGTGTATCCTTGCCCCCTCCGTATAAGATGGAACTAGTGGAGAACAGTACACGGGTGTCAACTGTTGGAAAGGTCTGTGATACAGCTTGAGTTAGGCGCCTTATTAAAAGTTCTTTTGGCCCGTCCCCTTGAAATGGCACCCTACTGAAAACCCATATCTTTCTTGCTGTCAGTGTCAGTGGCTTTGGTGGTCTTCCAGCCATGTTCTTAACAATTAATCCATCAGGATACCCGTTCTGGCGAAAAAGGCTTTCGATGATCTTCAGCTCTATCTCAACGCTGTCAGCTGAGCAGATTCTTCTCACTCTTTCTTTCAAACAGCGGACTAAATTACGCCTCACATTTAGCGGTACGAAACTCCCAAAATGGGTGTATTGCCTGGATCATATCTTCTTACTGTAGACGGTACCTCGAATACTGCCATCAGGCCTTCTACTCAGAAGTACATCCAGAAAGGGATACGAACCGGACTGTTCTTCTTTCAGCTTGAATTCGATTGATGGATGCGCCTGATTTACATCATTCAGTAGAACTGAGGCGTAATTTTGTTGCGGTGCAATCGCGAATATATCATCCACGTACGGCCCATAGTATCTCAGACCGTTGATCTGGTGACGTAGTTGGAAAGCTTCTAGCTTGCACATGAATATGTTCGCAAAAAGCGGAAAAGGGAGCAAGTCCATAGCTACTCCGTCCATCTGTCCATAAAGATTGTTGTGAAGTAGAAACTGCCCATTTAATGTACAGCTCAATAACAATTCCTTCAGGACATTCACCGACATTCCTATATCCTACTGATTGGCGGCAGTGAAATTACAAAGGTAGCTGACCGTTTCTACGACCGGTAAGTTCGTAAAAAGAGATGAAATATCTAACGAAAACATGATCATCCCGTTTAGATCGAGGTCTTTCACGCTGTTAGTGAATTCAAAGACATCCCGATAGTTACGTGGCGCCAGCTTATACTGCAGAGAATTAAGTTTCTCCGCTGGCCATTTTACGAGTTCCTCATATCGAGGATTGGACGAATCGAGGTGCCCTCGATAATTCGCTACTTTCGGAGGCTCCAACCGGTGACTGATTCTGTTCCAGCCTTGAATGGTCTCTCTCGGCTTGCGAACCTTCAGCCCTATCGTCTGCGTAAACTCTCCTGCGCAGACGCCTGAAATCTTGTGACGCTGACGGCTAACTGGCCGCGTCATCCGATACTTTGCATTCCCTCATGTCACCGTTTTCTTATCTCTATCGATGGACTCCTGTGTGGTTAGGCAAACTCGGATTTATAAACTGAAGTTTCCTGGATTAGCCATGGCTTCCATCATGCTTGGTTATGCGCCAGGAGTTATACCATTTACGGTGGGTGTGTGATCTCGTAAAATGTTGACCGAAATTCTGAGATGTGTTTTCGATTTGAGAAGGTTGCTTAAGTGGGGTTGTGATATTACTTATCGTGCAATATAATCCCAATATAGTTCAGTCGCATCAAGATGTGACCTTTTGAACGAGTTTCTTCCCGGTCGTCTGTAATACTGCTCTGCAAAGAATGACTACTTAGGTAGTGTGAATTTTTCTCATTGATTTTGGATGCTTTAATAAAATCGAATATATTTTATAAAAAAGCACAAAAATTTTCGTCCCTTTACGCCTTGGGTTTCAGATTATGTTCCCTTAAATTTAATATCTGAAGAAATAGTATCTTCCGGTTTCAACTAGATTTTTAACTGTGAACCTTTTTATGACCGTGAAATTTTCGTTCATTTGTTTACATTTACTAATTCTGCTTCTAAGGTATACGATATGGTTCAAATCCACCGCAAAATCTTATCAACCCTATATGATATCTTCTTGATGACGCATAAAGATAAATGATTTTCCCTACATGGAAAATATACAGCTTGCAGTTTGGAAATCCTGAAGGTATTTGTAAAAATAGGTAGTGTTCAAAATTATTCAGGGACTGAATATGTGCTTTAAAACCCAATTATGCTCTTACTTTGAGTATAAACTTAAAAGAATACGTAGCTTGGTATCGAATGAATAAAATAACGATGATTGTGTGCATGTTTTTCTATAGTATATACTTGGATTTATGATGGCACCGAAGATCTATGGAGAAATTCAAACTAATTTAGTCATTCCTTGCAGGGTTTGGTTTTTCGGACGGCTGGGAAGAAGATCTTTCAAAAGAGGGGCATAGTGATGTGACCGGAATATCTTTGGATTCTCTTGCATGGTCGTTACTATTATAACCCTGCTTAAGTTCCCTTTTCGAGTCGACGACACACTTCCGAACCCCGCCTAAAATTTCATGAGATAACATTCCTATACTTCAGACCGTGACCATGACAATTGTTTAAGACGAATGTCTAGAGCGTGTTTCCAAATTGCGTTGAAACCTCATTGCAATGAAGGGAAGTGACGACCAACTTACGTTCATCAAAGCGGTCGATCTCAACTTGCTCCGACTTCGCGGCGGCTTCACGTCTTCTGGCTTTCTGGGCTTTGAACTTCTCGAACTCCTTAGCCAGATCGGTTCCATAGGCGAAAATGTTCGCAAGTCTTTCCTTTTCGACCTGGCGATCCTTTAAGACTAGAAAGTGCAGAAGTGGAGGGCTCTGACTCTGGTTGTCAGAGTATAAGGGTGATTCATTGAGGAATATGACTCTCACATGTACTGCTAATCGCGGCTGCATCTATGTGTGAACTGGTTACTTTGGCTACGAGAACCCCCTTTGGGGAAGAGGAAGAAGAAGGGGGAGGAGGAGGAGGAAGAAGAAGAGGAAGATATCAACAAGAATTTTATGTAAGCCTTTAGGTTTTTATTTGACCGAATGATTCAACTACTGGTTTGAGGAGTCTGAGCGGATTTCGACCTCATTTTTAGATGTTTTTTTGTAGCAGAGAATAAGCAATTTTGGCCCTCCACATTTCAAAAATGATTTGACAGCTAATTCGTTTCCCTTTGTCAAATATACATTTATGCGCAGGTGAGTTTAGAAACTAAGGTGTACACAGGGGGGATGGTGGTCTCCATATAACAGAGGAATTTGGGGCGAAGTGTATTTTCGCTTCTTTCGGTATCACTCTGTGGCACCGATTTTATTTTACTTGTAAGATGTCAGGTTTGGCCGGCAAAAAACCTATAACACGAATGCAGGCGAAAGTTCGAGCTTCAGGTTTATGTATAGGTAAAGAAGAAAACTGATCGAGCACAGGGACAGTTTGATAACAGCTCTGAGCTTTCGAACTCTGCAAGAGTCCACCGTCCGGGAATAGTATCAACAAAAGACCGAGCGACAGTAATAGGGAATTTCGGCCAATCCTGGGTCGACGATTCTAAAATGGGGGCGATTTAGCAGGCCTCTGTTCGCCGGCGCCAGATCAGTAAATCGATTAACTGAGTTCTCATCCGGGACAAAGGCTTCAATCAATTATCGACCTGCTTTGTTTATACGGTGAGCACTTATCTTGATGGCTGTGACGTTAAGCTGATGGCCTAAAAAACAATAAACAAACTGTTCCTGTGCTTGACCGGTTTTCTTCTTTTCTTAACCTATAATATTTCTTGCTGGGCAGTGGATTTCACGTCTGATGAGCCCCATTTCGTAGATAGCCATCATTTATGAGAATGTTTATGAGTTTCAGCCGAGAAAAATGTCCCTTATTTTCTTTATTGTCAGCACAGAGTGAGTGTGGGCCACAGGCCGATGCATTTTCAGTCACGGCAAGTCATCTGGAATTTCGATACCGAACAGTTAGGTTAGGCATCTACAGTCAAAACCAATCAGGTGCAAGTTCAGACTGTACCGAACTCCATGCGGTTAGGTCACCGGTCCCAGACGTCTACTTTCATTCCTTGACTGAATCTCATCCAGAGACTCGCGATTAAAATTGCAAGAAAATCATTTCTAGTAGCCAAATGAAAAAATGGGTAGTTGACAGTTAATACAAACCTTAGAACAGTATAAAGCAAAAGTTGCTGATTCCGCGATAAAAGTTCGGTGCCTATATTCACTCTACTTTACGTTGGCTTAGGCAGACGTATTACGTTAAATCACATAAGTCGCTAAGAAGTGGGCTAATCTCCCAATCAAATCATGCAGAAAAGTAAGGGAGTGCGGGAGAAGAAAGTGCTAAATAATTTAATTATCTTTCCTCATCCTAGGGGCATAGATGCTGGCACTCCCTTTGATTTACAAGCAAAGCTGACTTTCAACAGATATTTTTTGGTGAAACAGCCTACAATTTAACGTCAGAAAATGAAGTTTGAACAGGCGGATATGTTATACAAAACTTATCAAACGCAATACTACTCACTGAATTGTGTTTAATGAAATTTTTTGGCTTTAAAATATATGAAAACATATCCGAATGCGTATCGTGAAATTAAGTAATGGTGTCCATCAAAGTTCATTCAATGACATATGAGAGATTTCTTAACTGTTGTCTGTTGCTTTGAAGGGAGACGGTCAATTTATATCATAAGAAATGTGGCAGATGAGTCAGAACCGATGACGCTTAAGTCGGAAGTCAAAATGTATAGGGCCCCGTTGTCCTTAAATACTCTGATATCTAGAAAATGAATACTTTCCTGACGGACCTGTTACTGACAGCTGCATAAAAGCAAACTCGATAGAGTGCCCGATGAAAGTTATTTGGTCTATAACAACACAGAAGTCATTGATTCCCGCATCTTAACGATGTCTATCATGCCTTCCGAACGAAGTCAGGAACTTATTGGGGATGCATGAGATTTGTGAATTTGAGAAGAGCCACAGGCTTGGCGAAACTCCAATTGTTTAAGTGTTCTGGGAGTCACTGTAGTCCATGATGCAACTTTTGTGTCGTCCCGTTAGAATAACTCCCTCCGCTTCAGATGTACTAAAGGCGAACCACAGTCTGTCGGCAGCTGGACTAGCGATTACATTCATATGGTGAAGAAATTAATAAAGAATGGCTTTATCAACCAGACGACGCATATAATTATACATAGAAGTTAGAGTCCCAAAGAGAAAGGTTGCGCGATTCATCATTTTCCCCATTCATCATTGGGCGTTAAGTGAAGAGCTTGCGTATTAAACTCCAGACATCTTGGAGGTCTTGGATCACAATCAAGGTTGAACGGGCGTTCGCCGATCCGATTACAGCAAGAAACATGCATGTCTTGATTGACCTTGAGAATTTAATCCAAAACTCTCATTAGTTAGAGCCAGTTTGCTTGCGCAACTTTTCCAAAATTCGGCAAACTGATGTAAGGCTGCCAACTAAAAGGGTCACCTGTCTAAAGATGCTCGACAGTGTAACAGTAAGCAGGAGACGCCGACATACTAACGCTGAAGTGTATAGCGGGAAGCAAAAATTACTGACTTACAGACTTTGGATAGGGAAATAAACCGAGAGGTTTCCTTATTTAAATTCCTTGGGGGTGTTTATGATCCAGTGTCAGTCATCATAATAGAAGCAGAATAGAGTACCGGTTAATGGTTTCCGATTTTCCGGTTAGGGGTACGCCTTTGGGCTTAGGTTTTCGGGTTATGGTTAGGGTTTGAGCGTACAAATAGGTTCCAGTATTACGGTTAGGCTTCTCAGTTACGGCTGTGTCTAAGGGCTACGGTTACGTTGACGATTTCGGCTAGGGTTAGGGTTGCCGTTAGGGTTAACAGTTAACGGTAACGGTTGAGGTTAGGGTTAGGGTTAAGGTCGACGTCGCTTCCCAGTCCGGGCTACCAACTGCGATCTAGCCGCAGAAATAGACGCCAAGAAAATGATAAATCTGTGCGACATTTCTAGAATTGCTTCCGTGGACAGAGAGTTCATCAATACAGTCCTGATAGACTGATAGTATTATTGAAAAACGCGCCGCAACCTACGACAATTACTGTAATAGAACGTATTTCGTTTGCTTAGTAACGTCAGGTGTCCTTCGGGGAAAACAACGAGTAAGAGAGGGGGATTTACAGAACAAACAATACTCATACTTGTGTCCCTTAAACTATCAATTACGCCGTCAGTTGAGGGATCCGGATAATCCTGATCATTTCCACCTGTTCATAATTGTCATCTGATGATTGTTATGAACGCGCCCGAAAAAACGACCTTTGTGCTCTCCTATGCTGCCAATCGATTCCAAATTCCTAGTACCAGAACAACGACCGGCGCGCATAACTTTAGTTTATGTTGCAGCCTCCTGACTTGGGACCTCCTCATATAATTGTCTAGACAAGTTGCTCGTTAGTAAGCACGAAAATTAATTGAAGCCTAGGCCTCGGATGAGAACTTGGTCAATCGATTTATCGATCTGGCGCCGGCGTACAGAGCCCTGCGTAGTTACCTCCAGTCGTGCGCCGTCGGTCGATGATTGGGCCTACGTGCCTTATAACTGCCGCTTGCTCTGTTTCTGCCAATACCTCTGACGATGGACTCCTGTAAGAGTCTGAAAGCTCAGGACAATAAACGAACTGTACCGGTGCTCGACTCTTCTTCTTCACTCATATTTTTTTCTTCTGTGGCTTGTCGGTGAACATCTATTTCATGCTGGTTACATGATCTCTGACTGGCCTCCCGTCGGCTGGTTCGTCTTCTCACTTTTGGAATGGCCAGCTTCTAGGTTGTGGAAATTCTGCTCCAGTGCCCCTAGTGGACCATATCGCGTCTGTTATCTCATTAGTCTCTGGCTCACCGCCGAAATATTTGGATGACTTCGTCTTTCCATGTACTCTCGACAAAGTGTCATTGTGTTCCGGCAGCCGCATTCAGGCGTGCTGAGCTTGACTAGCCTTGCAATATTTGGTATTGGAATGCATTCTGTTCCTTGTCCATTTTTGCTGTAGGTTCTGTCTAGACTGACTAAAATCTTCCGCGTTGCGACTAATAGGTGGAATGCAGGTCTACTGGTTTAACAATGACCAATTTTAAAACCCTCCTGGTCAAATTTTCATGGCTTTGAACGTTAATTCTCGCCTTCTCAAAGATAAAACTATAGGTTTTCTGCTGTGCATGGCTATGTATAAAGACACTCGAGCATGGCGTTCGATTGCAGGTCAGAAATCGTGGAACTCTGCGAGCGTGAGGTTTTTTGTTTACCTAAACTATACGATATCGCCATTTTGCATTGCGGACTGCCAGCAGAGCGCCACTTATCCTGCTAACGCTGACGGACTTGTAGGGCCATTTTTTGCTGGCTGGTATTAATATTGGTTTGTGTTTCACATCGATCTCAAAAGGTCTTAAGGTTATTCCCATTGGTTCCGCAGTCAAAAGCCTGACTTTGCTCCGTTCAGTGGTTCTCAGATAGCATTTTTACATCACTGACATGCGAGAAACAGAAAAATTTGGTGCTTGTATGCAATCCTTGCCCATTATCGATGCAACATTGTGCGGAAACCTACTGGAAGCCGACTGTAATAAAGCAACATATGTAACTGACGGGCAAGCAGACTCTGCTGCAGCTAAGAAGTGTGTGACGCTAATCGAAGTCGCACGCGCTCGCCAGTGACAAATGGCATGGAGGGTTCGGAGTCAGTTACGCCTCCTGATTGGCGATGTGGGCGGTAAATTTTGCGGAACATCGGCAGGAACACATTTTTCTTTACGAAGACAGCCTCCGTTTCTGCTCTTTATCTTCTCAGACAGACGATGAAGTGGAAAGATGGAAAATCGTGATGTCTACCGCACTCAAGGACGGATTTCATAGTACCTGCTCTCCAAATGGCCTTATCAGAAAATACATGCGGTGAACACTGAATGTTAAATTACGGGGGAGAGGCTTTGGCTTCGGCATATCATATGCGCCGCTCGCAATAATCGTTTCTCTCGTTCGCAATCCAGGCCGGACTTGTCTTCTTCTTCCATGAATTTATTAACAACATATCCAATAAAACACGTACTCCATTGGATGGCTTGGTTTTCGGGTGTGATTCTGCTTACTTCCGGGAAATTTAGAAGGAAGAGGCTGACCATCTGCTTAATTAAACTAAAAAGCACATTTGTATTACTTTGTACGTTCCTTTGAATATCTCGTCTGATTTGGTTTGATATTTTGGCTTCAGTCATTAACGCTACAAAATTATAGAGAATTCTTTTCAATATACTTTTCAAAAAGTCGACAGTTTCTTTTGTGTATTGAGGAGTCCTCGTGTTCCAGAGACATGTAGGTTTCCCATCGTTCATTGTTACCAATATAATCAAAATTGACCTAGAACTCTGTATTTACCGCAATTATTCTTCAGATGCTCTGGGATCATAAAAACAAAGACCACTGTAGGCCAAGTGAGTGCACGCCTCGTTTTGTTGAAAAAATCGCCCTAGTTTTGGTTTTTTAAGCGAATTTCCGTCGCCTATAATTATTCTGTTTCTCCTTTGGAGCTGTTTCAAACTCTCTAATCTCTTTGGAAGAATGATTTCAGGAAGAATGATGTAAGCGCTGCCAAGCTCCTTCGAAACTGCCCACATTCTCCGCACTATAGCAAAATCATCAGAAGACATGTGACTTGTGTGCATGTCTACGATTTTTCAGAAGACCTTAAATTACCGTGTTCCGAACCGGCAATTCGGCACATGCATTAAGTCATCATAGGCTTCATGTAGTTGCATTGAACTGGAGCACAACTGCATAGGGCATTCGAGACAAGCTATTTCGGGATATTGTCCACAATTAAAATTGACTCGTTGCATGATGACTGTTGGTCGCAGTTAGTAATATTTATTATCCATAGACCTTATAAGCTAATTGTATATCACCTGCTCAGCATCGCCAAATAAGACGAAGTTGAGGCTGCTTGATGAATCTTTTTTTTGAGAGAGAGAGAGAGAGAGAGAGAGAGAGAGAGAGAGAGAGAGAGGAATGCTTCATTTTGAAAATAACATTCAAAACTTTCAGTAAAAACGGTTCTCCAGTACACAGTGATTACCATAGAGATGAACAGGTATTGGACAGGTGGACATAATTATATATGAAGAAAAAAGGGCTTTAAGGTGTAAAATCAAGTTTTTGTTTTTGTGTTTCAACATCTTTGCAGGTGAGATACCGGGCTAGAAATGGCAGTATGGAATTCTGATAAGCCGAAGCGCGACAAGGGATGTGGCGGAAGCATCGACGCATGGGGCGTAAGGATTTCGCAGCCATTAACTCATTATGAAGGCGATGGACGGTGTCATTCAGAATTTGGTCAGCGAATTGCTCCACCGACTTGAAGTGTCGCTGCACGATGATATCAACTAAAAGATGATAGGAAACACCAGCAGCAGAGGCGAGCATTCGAATGACACGTTTAAAAATAATTAGATCTTTTTAAATTAAAGCTGGAAAAATAACTGGAGAACAATAAAGAATGAGTGGAAGAATACAGCCATCTATGAATCGCCAGATTAGGATTGGGGTGTGTGATATGAACGTAGACGACGAATGTAATAAACAAGTTTTTAAATTTTTCTTAAAAGGGTTTCCATATGAAGAGAGACAGAGAGATTTGAGGACAAAGTAACACCTAGTTACCGGAAAGAGGATACCTCATTGGGAAGAATATCCAAAGGTTCAGGAATGGGAGAGGGTCGCAATCGAAACACACAATGTACTGAGTTCTGATTGTTGAGTAGGAGTCCATTATTCGACGACCATGCGGAGACGTGATCTAAGCCATCCTTTAAAGACTGTAGGTGAGTCAGGTTTTTGAGTGGGTGGCCTACGACCATGTCATCGGCATACTTAACATACAGGCAGTCGCTTGGCGATCTCAAATCATCAGTATGAAAAGAGAAAAGATGAGGGATAAGATGGAACCTTGTAGAACTCCACAATTATTTGGAAGAATAGAAGATTTTCTTTTTCCCGACTGGACAAACTGTGTGCGGAAGGAAAAAATAATCCATCTCTAAGCCAAGAAACAACCCAGCTCGGAGCGTCACACGCAGCTGCTTTGGTCAGTAGGAGTTGGCGCGGAATAGTATTGAAGGCGGATGAATAGTCGAGAAAAGCACATGCATATGCACGGCATCCCTTGTCTAAGTCTCTCAAAGCTGAATGGACAACTAAAGCAACAGCATCCAAGGTGCTACGCCTTGCCTTGTATGCAAATAGTAGAGGATCAGAAAAATTGACGGAGGAGTACTTAAGGGAATCTAATGCAACTCGTTCAGTAAGTTTTAGGAGTACAGAAGAGCAGGCAATAGGACGGAAAGATTTAGGAGCAAAAGTTAAAAATTTTTTAGGGATTGGAGTAATTCTTACTGTACGCCAGGCGTCAGGAATCTTTGACTCTATGAAGGATAGATTAATAAGCTGGGTCAAGACGGGAGCTATCTGCGAACAGCAAGACTTAAGGAGAAAAGGAGAGACACCGTCCGGCCCAGCCGCCGTTGACCCGCAAACATTTTTGAGATGTTGTTCCACTGTTGTCACAGTCACAGGAGTAAAGTCGCATGGTGGTAGGTAAATTTCGTTTGGGCGAGAAGGGGAGTCGTTAGAAGTACAGATAAAATTACGATTTAAAGAGTTTAAATCAACATCAATGGGTTCAAGTATATTACGTTGACCAGTGAGACGCACTGTATTTGCCCTGACATTTTGGAAATCTCGTCGTTTTCATTATCGGTGTGGTGAAGTGTTTGCCTCGGCTGACCTGCACTGGTTTTGTTCCGTCTGTCTCATATTATAGTCACGCTTAACGCTAGAACTCTGGCCTGCCAGCTACTTGGGGATTGGGTTCGACGTCTCCGCGAACACCGCTGGCGGCCCCGCGTGACCTCCACATCCTGCAAGGCTGTCGGAGATGCTGCATGACCGGTGTGCCCGCTGGCCCTTTCCTCCTAAGCGAATGGACTGATTAGCTGTTGCTGCCCGTACGAAACCTGTTAGAATTATTGGGTGCGTAGGAGAGCTTAAATAGCAAAAATTATTCCTTTTGAAATCTACGAAACCATAAAGGATCAAGGCCTGTGAGACGGCAACGTCCTTGATAAGACAAATGTCGGTGTTCCGGGGTTAAAATTCTCTTGGTAAAAAAGTGTTGAACGGATTCTATTTTCCTCCAATTAATAGCACGCATGAGGCTAAATAAAAACGAACAGTATTCCAGGCCAGGTCGAACGTGCATGTTAGATAGAGGCATTCTAATGTCGCTAGTTTTAAAGTTTCGGAGGATAAACCCGGTCGTTCTACGCGCTTTGGAGTCTATCAAGGCACAGTACTCCGAAATAATAATAATAATAATTTTTATTAAAGACCCGTCGGGGTCCCATCAAAGCAAGTAAAAATAAATTTGCATGCGCATTTTAGACGAGGTAATCAAAATCTGTACAAAGTGCAATTCATAGCTTTTGAATTATTAGTCCGTTAAGAAAAAGGATTAGCGAGGGGTGGAAAAAAAACTCCGCATGAAAATTTAAGAATGATTGTGGCTCCTGGAGTATGATAAACCCAGAACCTTAATAACCCCAGGAACATTTAGGATGTGACCGTCAATACCTAGTCGAGGTTGCCGCTCGTCTCCAACCACTATGACTGCGTATTTATGCCAAGAAAGAGAAAGGCGGCATTTGCGACACCAGTGGGCAAAGGCCTGTAGATCGCTCTTTAGGAGCTAAAGCTCGATGTCACGATCTGCCGGCCTATACCGATATGCAACTTTAAGATAAGGCAAAATAAGAGGGAAAGAGTTTACTACATTGAATGACTCCACTCCTCACACGTGTGCGGTTGGAGATAGTATTGGAAATTTTAACTCGTTGTGTACGAGTGCCCAAGTAAGAGGATATAAATTTTAAAAGTTTCTCACCTATTCCGAAAGATGACAGTTTCAAGAGAAGAAAAGCATGGTCAACACGATCGAAAGCCTTAGTGAAATCGAAAAATACTGTGTAAAGTGCAAAACCATTGTCCCTAAATTGGAGAAGATGGTCAAAGTAAGAGAGCTGACAGGCGACACAAGAACGAGCTTTGAGGAATCCATGCTGAGCAACACTCAGTAGGTTATTCACTGTTAAGTGACACATCATCTTCTCTTTGATCAATGTCTCTAAGATCTTCGAAAGTGCGGGGAGGGTGTTTATTGGCCGAAAGTCATCAAACGTGGTAGATTTGCCGTGCTTAGGCATGGGCAAAATGTGTGATTCCTTCTACAAGGTAGGATAGGTTTCACATTCAAGAGCGAGATTAAAGATCTTGCATAAGAGAGATGGGAAAATCGTGTTTGCATCGGCTTTTAAAATGCTTACTGGGACACCATCAGGTCCTGGACTATAAGATTGACGAAAACGCCGAGTTGCAATAGTCACGTCCCACAGAGTGAAAGTTATAATTTCTAGAACTGCCCCGGTCAATGACTCGATGGTCGGAAGCTGAGTGGTCGAGTCTTCAATGAACGTTTTGGACAAGAAAGCTTTGAAGCTATCAGCGGTTAACTGGGCATCAACTATGGGATTTCCGAGAGCGTCTCGGAGGATGGGATGCTGCGTCTTTCTTTAAGTTCGTACATTTCGGGAGAAAAGTTTGGTGATATTTTACGAACGGTTTTCAGTGAAATGGATCTCTCCGGCTAGCTGTTTTCTTCAGACAATCTACTATCCCGCGCAAAATTATCACAAACCAAGGGCAGAACAGAAACATCGTTCTGAAAATGGAAACGACGATAAAGTCTGCGCAATCTGCGACGAAATGGCAGGGGTAGGGAAATCGCATCCCCCACATTAATAAATATCTTAGGAGGGACACAACGAGAAATAAGCGGATCCAAAATTTCTTACAGTTTTGCAGTGCAAGCATTTACATTCGAACTAAGGAAGAAATCAGTCCAGTCGTAGGAATTAAGGTGTGATAATAATTCGGTCGAGCGAGTTGATCGGAAGTCGCGGAAAACGTATTTTTGGGACAACGTTTTGTCAGATTTGAGTTCAAACGTTGAAACAACTATGTTATGAACTCAGCACCCGAGTGGACCAAGGGATAACAATGACAAAGGCATGCAGCCTCTACAGAAAGATAGGTCATATATGCTCGATCCTCGGGTGGGAAAATCGACAACCTGATTCCACATCCCAACATCTACAGCCTCAAGAAAGTCTTCGAACCTTCTGGGGCATGAAGGCGGATACCAGCGGACTTCAGGGAGATTAAAGTCATCCGCATCCAATTGATACTTAAAGCTTAGGTCGGCCGCAGCCTGTGAGAGTAAACG